ATGATGATGGTGATAGTGATACTGGTGGTGCTGATGCTGATGCTGCTGATGATGGTGATGCTGCTAGTGCTGACGATGATGATGATGATGATGATGATGATGATGCTGATGAGAAGGAGGAGGAGGAGGAGGAGGAGGAAGGGAGGGAGGAGAAGGAGGATGGGGGAGGAAGGAGGAGGAGGAGAGGAGGAGGGGAGGGGAGGGGGGAGGAGGAGGAGAGAGGAGGAGGAGGAGGAGGAGGAGGAGGAGAGAAGGAGGGGAGGAGGAGGAGGAGGAGGGGGAGGAGGAGGAGGAGGAGGAGGAGGGGGAGGGCGGGAGGGGGGGGGGGGGGGGGCGGGGGACTCGAGGACTCGAGAGCAGAGGGCACCGCGGTCGACTCCGCCGCCGCGGCCCCTGCGCCCGCGCACGCTGCGCAGGCTCTCATGAGGTCGCGAGCCAGCCCCAGAGACAGGGCGAGCTCCACCTCACTGCCACTCCAGGGCAGAGTAGAGCAGCGGGGCAGCTGGGGGCAGCTGCCCCGTGAGGTCGCGAGCCAGCCCCAGAGACAGGGCGGGCCTCCACCTCACTGCCTCTCCAGGGCAGAGTATCTCTGCGGGGCCGAAGCCCCGAGCCGCGTACTCACCCACGTTGTCGCCGCTCAGCAGCCACACGTTGACGACGCCCAGCTGCGACTCGTGGTAGCTTGCCGCCGTTGGGCGGCACCGTGCCATCTGGCCAGTTCTGGCCAGCCTTAGGGGGTAACCCTTGGCGTAGACGTCGGAGAACTGTCTGGCCACTCTGCGTGATCTGCTCTCTGCACTTCGCTGCCAGAAGGGATACACGCCCATGTCCTTCATCATTGTGTGACGCCACCGCTGCACAATTCCAACACCAGAACTGCCCATGAGCAACAGAGATCGAGTGGCTCGGGTGGATCATTTTATCTTGAATTTCAATCATCTCATTGTTGGGTACCTGTACTGCATGCCCATGATCAGCTCGGTGTACTGCATACTGCCGTCCAACACAAACAGTGGTTCTCAACCAATCAAAAAGACTATACTTGCCTGGAGTTGTCCAACACTCTTGGCAGACCCAACGCCCTTTCATTGTTTTCATATCATGTCCAGAAACTTCTTGTAGCTGGAGGCGCTGCTCACGTCGTAAGTGGAACGCTTTGTGCCGCTGCTGCTTGGGCCTGTCCAGCTCGGTTGGGTCCGCGTCCTTGCACATTTCGAAGATGATGGCGGCCGCACGACGCTGGACACGCATCAACAATGTTTCCACTTCAGTAAGCTGTTTGACCTCCTCACGTATATCGTTCATGGCCTCTTCAGCTCCACGTTGCGCAAGAGTATCTGCCATTTCATTTCCAAGGCTGATCTGGAAATCTTGTTTGGACTGCTTGATTGATTCATGGTCAAGATGAGATAAACATTTGATAATAACCACCTGATGTACTCCACCAGGCCGCTTCTTGATCATAGCACCGATACGCCCCCACCATTCCTTCAAGGCACCTTGAGGATGTTCGTAAAACCGCTGGGTCCAACCATTCACAACTTGCTGGCAGTCAGTGTAGATGGTAATCGGCCCTTTCGTCAGCGCCAAGGCCCAAAACAATCCCGCATGTTCTGCTGCAGGTACACTCTGTTCTCCATCCACCGTGCCGTAGAAACCGATATGGTGGGCATCTGCAATGACGCCGTTGCTGATGTCGATCTGATTGTTCACATTGAGGACGTGCGTGACGTAGCTTGGGTTCGTCATGTCAATTACCGTATCGCAATCCTCATAGTACTCAGGAAACTCATCTTCGAGGGTGGGTGCCTGGTCGCGTAGGAGCTGTCGAAACTTCTCTTTAATTTCGGCGACGCTGTCAAACCAGTGTTGGACGTAAGCTTGTCTTTCCCATCCTTGGAGCGTGAGGTAGTAGTCATATACATCCTTGCGCCGCCTCTTGGAGGTGCGCCATCTGATGTCACATAGATCTTTGGCGAGCTGGCTGCTGCTGCGGGTCTGGTACCGTGCTTTGAGAAACTGCAAGAGGCACGCTTGTTCTGGTTGGCGTAGGAACTGCTTCATGCACGGCTCGCACCATAGTTTCCAGCTGTCGTGGTTGCGAACTTCGTCGTTATCAATGAATACTGTCCAAGTCGCTGCCCAGACTCCGAGGTCATTCATCACATCCTTGTGCAGCTGCTCCGTGGTCTCGTCGGTCGGTACTTGCTTCACTTGGCCTCCCATTTCCGTGCGACCTGCTGGGGTATTTTCGCCGAAGTCCAACGTGGCGTACGAAGATCCATCCGTGGGTATTGCGTCCAGCGGGCTGAGGTCCCGACCAGCACCCGAAGGGCTCCCCATCTGTGGTGCGCCGTCACCCTGGGCAGGGGGTTTTCGCCGAAGTCCAACATGGCATACGAAGACCCACTCGTGGCTTGGACGCCCATCGGGCGAGGGTCCCGAACAGCCTCAGAGAGGCCCCCCTGTTCCAAGAGTGCGTCTTGGCACCACAGTCGCTCTTGTCCTGGTCTATGTTCTGGCGGTCCCTGTCGTAGCTGAAGTGTAAGTCCCCATCCCACTCTGTTGATACGCTTGTCATTGCTTGTGCCTGATCCATCCACGAAGGCAATCGCGCAACATACGGGGTTGATGGTGACCAGCTCCTGCGAATATACTTTGGTTCCTGCCGTGGCCGTTGTCCAATAACTTCCATTCCATGATCCCCAAGCCGGCGCTGATGGGACTGGGTTGCGATGTTGAGGAAGTAGTCCGCGTAGCCAGAACGCCTCTGTGTCAGGGTCGTTATACATTTCTCCCAGTGCACGCTTGCACAGCGACTGTGACTTGACGACGGCCTCTATGTTCAAGTTGTCATTCATTTCGCACTCGTAGATCCTGTGCTTGATCGTGTCAGCCGCTTTGGAACATCTTGGGCACTTGCCGTCAGTTTTGTAGCCAGCATCTTTGCACCGCTGCCCCGTCCATATTGCTCCACATGCCAGTGCTTCAAGCGCTCCAGCTTCTTGTATGCGATCAGCTTTGCGTAACTTCTGTAGTGTGCGCTTGAGCATAGTGGTGTCCATGCCGTGCTGCATGCCCTTGCCGTAGTAGTGGTCGGCGGCCTTGATCCATATCTGCGCCTCCATGTCCGCTGCAATGGTACGCATGATATCCTTAAAGTCCAGGGCCTGGTCATTTCGGAACTTCCACAAATTGCCTCTTGGATCTCCCCATTCTTCAGGTCGGTGTGGCTTCCATCCCAACTGCTGTAAGGATAAGATAAGGGCGCCCATGGGTCCTGTGACTGAGTTCCAACGTCCACGTGGTCTCATCTTCTGGAATATTTGTAGATTGTCGTACCATCCTTGTCGTAGGCGCTCATGGGCAGGTGCTTCTTTTTGCCATGTCTGTATCCATTATTTTATCTGGCGCTGGAGGCAGGCTGTGGCTGGTTCGTTCTCGCCGTAGAAGATGACGTTGATAGTTGACGTACACCTGCCACCAGTACTGAAGCCAGCCATATCTGCTGCCTGTGCTCGTGCGTCGCGTACTGCAGCTGGGCTGAGACCTGCGATAGGCCAATCATAGCTTTGTTTCGCCCGAAGGTTTGAGTTGAATAACATGGCCGTCCTGCGTCGCCAACGTCCTTTTTGCTTGCTGAAAATCTTGGCCCTTTTAGCTCTTTGTCTAGCCTGCTTGCATCTGGTAGTGCGCGTAGACGTGGTACGTTGGCGACCCAGAGCTGCATCAATACCCCAATCTTTGACGTACTTCGGTGTCTTGATGTTGATTCCTTTCTGCTTGAGCTGCTTCACGATGTGCTTCTTCGTGGTGATGCAGTTCGTGAGTAGGGCCGATTTCCCCGAGACTACTAGCTTGGAATCCAGACAGGCCTGCACTAAGGTGTTGACTGCGACGGGGAACTGCTGCTGGAATTCCTCAGCGCGTCCTTCTACACGTATATGGAGATCGTCAACAAACTCGCGTGCTAATGCAAGCGGCGCTGCATTGTGGGTGATGTCCAATATGATGTACACCATAGCTCTTGCCGCGTGATTCGCTGTAGCACATCCAGCCACTATACCGTTCCATGGGCAAATTGGTTCAGCGTGGCCATGACAAGCTCGTACTACACGCGGTGATAAGTACATCAGGAGGCTCATGTACAGGTTGACGGCTGGATAATTGAGTTGCATAGCACGTCTGATCAAGATGCTGAGGTCCACACTGTCGTAGAGTTTCTCCAGGTCAAGGTAGAAGGTGCCGTAGATTGATCCCTTGAGCTTCGCGCTGGTTTCATCAAGGGCCATTGATAAGAGTGCTGCTCGTAATGCTGACGACCCCTGAATGGCAGCGTCCCAATAGCCTGCCTTTTCTGAACACCAGTCTTGCATCTCCGCTTTGGCCATCTTGCCCCAGAGCCTGACTGGGAACGGTAGTAGTCCAATGGGGCGCTCTTCGCCCGCTGTGTTAGAACCAGCTTTGACCAATAAATGATACCAGAGGTGATAAAACTGATGTGGCCAACATAAGTTGCGTTCGCATGAATTTAACACAAAGACGAGGCTGCGCTTCGCATCGTCGGGCAGCGCCTTGATCCCTGGTGGTTGCCATTGGTCTGGGCCGCGTGCTGTCGTCGGTCGAAATTTGGATAGCGCTGCTTCAAGATCTTGGATATCGTAATAATCTCGATGCAGTAAGTCGGCTTGAGCTGCTTGTTTGAGTTCTGCCATGGCCGCTTTCAACTGCTCGCTGCTGTTGTGCCTCTGCCACCGCATTTGCCAGACTCCTGATCGGCACTCCGTGGCCTCACGAAGTGCTCCCGTCTCGTCCTTGGTGATCGGGTCCACGGCAGTGTCTGGTAGATCTCGTCGTTCACGTTTGCTGATATATCTATGAGCATCGCGCATATTACTTGATAAAGCCGTCCTCGTCCACTGGCCGACTTGTTCACGAATCTTTTCCCACATCTGAGAAACATGCCCATCCATTCGATGTCTTGTGGCTGCTGCTGCATCCTGCCACTCGGTGATATTATCCGTGTGCGTGTCGGGGTCGATGTCGTGGCCGAGGGAGCTGGCGCGTTTGGCGAAAAGGGCCGCCTGCTCATCCAGGTCGTCGGTCTCCGCTACGTTGGTCTTTTCAAGCTTGTCGATCTGCGTGACTACATTCTTGATGATGAGGCTGACAGCGTCCAAGTGGTGCTTGCTCTCTATCGGGTGCCTTTGGAGGAGCAGAACGCCGTCTCGGCAACGCTGATTGAGCGCCGTCCAGAGGATGCTGGTGTGCTGCTGCTCGTCCGCTTTAGTGTTACCTTTTGGCTTGCCTGCGATGCGCTGCGGGTAGGGTACCTCCTTGTAGCGCGTTCGCTGTCCACGTCTCGCTCGTGGGTGGATCGGTGCCTCCGTGATGGTCGAGAGTGCCCGCTCCGCCGCATTCGCCCACTTGCCATACAACTTACCCAGCAACTCACTCATGCGCGGGTCCTGCTTGTACGCTATCGAATTCTGCACCCACAACGGCGCGCCTCGGATTCGGCCAGGTGCCTCCTTGTCTCGGCACTCATCCCAGATATTCTGGTCGCATCGCATGGCCACAGTCTGCGTGTAGTACGTGTCCAGGAGCTTGCTGTCCAAGAGGTCGTCTTCAAGGTACTTGGCCATTTCGTTGTACTGGGTGCGGTCGCGCTGTTGCCGCTTGATACCTTTCTCTCTTTGAATTTCCGTCATGGGTATGGGGCGCTTGGCTGGGAGCATAGGCTTGCGGATAAGGATCATCGACGGCTGGGCCCATAGCTCTATAACGATGCCGATGTGTGGGGACCATGGCACCTCATGCTCGCCACGGATATGCTTGAGTATCGGCCGAAAGTCTGGAGGGATGATGGCATAGTCGATGAGGCGCCCCGTTCCACTGCTGCACGTGTAGCTACCGCGCTGAGGTACCACAATTGATCAACCAAGAAGTCTTAGCCAAGGCGTCGCTTCAAACTCTTGTGGTGTATTGTTGAAGTCTCCACAAATTATCAAAGGTATGTTGCCCAAACTCGTTGTCAGCTGAAGTTGGTGCTTCATCTTACGGATATTCTCACCCGTGAAGCCGATGGATGCTGTGAGGTAGGCCGTGATTACTGCTATCTGCTGCCCTTTGAGCTGCCACTTCGCCATGGTGATGTCATGGATACCCTTGGCGAAAATGCTGTGGCCCTGCGCATCTGGCAGGTGTACTCGCGTATCTAGATGACGTCGACGAAGGATGCATGTGCCTCCTAAGGTACCCGTCGTGGATCGTGGCGATGGCCGCGCTGGCGTCCAAGTACCGTGAGATCGCCACCCGTACTGCATGAGTCGGCTAGCCTCGACCTCTGCTGCTGGTCCACGTAGGTGGTGCTCGCTCAGCGCGATGATGTCGTACTGCTTGCTCTTGCCCTCGATGAAAAGTTTGGCGGCCGTGTTGCACTGCGTAACGTTGGCCAGGAAGATGGTGACGATGGGCTTCGCATCGTCTGAATTGGTCTGCTGGTTCTTGCCTTCGGTCTGGATCTTGGTGCCAGTACCTTGCGAACCTGCACGGACTGGCTCTGCCGACGGGCTTGAACAAGTAGACGATCCCCGAGAAGAAACTGACGTCGCGCTGCCATCATCATCATCTGCCCGAGCAGACGCACTCTCGATGATGTAGTCAGCGTCGTCGTCAAACCAGACCTGCTTCTGGTACGGCGGCCTGGCGAACCCGCTTGGTCCTCGATGGAGCTCTGTTGCGAGTGGGGATTTGCCGTGCTGGACAGCAAACGTGGGCACTCTGGGCTCATCCCCCTCCGCAGCAGAGGCTAATAATAGGAAGCCGTCGATCTCGGCTTCAACATCGTCGTACTTCTGGCTGTAGTTGGGAGCCCTGCCGCGTAGCGATCATGACCTTCGCCCTGCTCTTGATCTGGGCCAGCTTCGCGAGGTAGGCCTTGACCTGGTCGTCATCTGAGAGGTCGAACTGGTTGGCGAGCTCCACCTCTGGGTCTGTTTGAACTGGTCCAGCATCGGCCGCACGTGCATCTGCCTGTTCGCCAGGTGCTGCAGCTGGTTCCTGAGGTGGTTTAGCTTCGTAGCTTCAGCTCCGTCTTCTCCTCTACGCCGCTTGCAGGCCTTGGTCTTGATGGTCTTGGCTGCGTCGAGCGCCTTCTTCGCGTTGATGACTGCTGTCTTCGTGCCGTCGATGTATTGCCTGGCCTTCTGGAATTCTTTCTGGATTGCCTCACACTCCTCTTTCTGTTTGCTATCCAGCATGGCCAACTCCTCATCGTCCAAGGTCGGGAACTCCTCCTCCGCGTCGTCCGGTTTCTTGGCTGGCTGTGCTTCGGCTGCATCTCCTCCGACATCGGCGTTGGCCTCTTGGAAGTGCTTCTTCGCGTCGGCCAGCTCGGATACGTTGGTGCTGATCCTCTGGAGCACGTCATTGCGGTACTCGGTAGCACGCTTGAGCTGTTTGGCCAGCTTGTCGTGGTGCTTCTGGAGACGGTTGAGCTCCGCGACTGCCTCTTGGAGTTTCTGTCCTGTTGATGGCTCTGGTGCTGCGACTGGTTTAGCTGGTTTTGCCTCGGGGCAAGCTGCGAGGATCTCATCCATGCGGGTCTGGTCGTTTTGCTCCTTGGCCGTGAGGTACCGTTTCCTGAGAAGGTCCACCATTGGCTGAGCTGCTGCACCAGGAGCTGCTTGACCTCCCGCTGGCATCGTTGACGTGGATGGTAGTTGCCACACGTGACCACAAGTCTTGCAGTTGGTCCATCCAGGTTTGCCTGCCATGTTGCAATAAACCCAATTGCCACTACCCACTGGACAAGTCGGGCATACCAGGTACTGCGTGTGCTTCTTGCCCTTGGTGTTGGGCGGCTTGCGGCTGGACGAACGTGAGGTTGACAGTGAGGCTGATCGTCGCCACGGCGCACCCCACGCTGCTCCCCACGTCGCTTGGTCATCTGCGTCACTCCAGCCGCCGCGGCCCCGAGTCATGTACTGGGGCAGCAGGAACTTTAGCAGCGGCTTCTGCCGCCCCCCTCAAGCCGCGAACCGACGTACAGCGAGCCCCAGCCCGCCGCCGCCGATGGTGCGCGCCCTGCTGTCTCGGCCCTCGCGTGGCGCGCGCGCGCGCGCCAGCTGCAGGCCGAAATGGCTTGAGGAGGAGGAGGGGGAGAAGGCGGAGGAGGAGGAGGAGGAGGAGGAGGAGCAGAGCTCACCAGCGTGGCCCAACACGCTTGGATATTGCACTCTCGGTGCCCAATCCTTCTGACCCGCAAGCCGTGTGCGGTGCAGCTTTGGTGTGTTGCAGCCTAACGGTCCAATATGTGGAATGCAACAGGTGTGGTGCAGCACATTTGTCGCAGCATGTGTACTTCAGGCTGCGCTGTGCAAAAATGTCTGTAGAACTTGGAGTCGCCAGCAGCTCCAACGCTAGAACAAACATTTCGCCCACACGTCTGTAACTGCTTGGCAGAGACATGTAGCAATACCACGAGAACCCTTATCATGCAGATCCAAGACTCGGGCAGACGAGTGATGGTAGTGACGACGACACTGGCGACGATGAAAGCGATGACGACGACGACAACGACGACGACGACGACGACGACGACGACAACGATGATCATGAGGATGACGGTGATGGTGGCGGCGACGATGACGAAGGCGACGATAAAAACGATGGCGATGACGATGCTTATGGCATTGCGGGTGATGATGACGACGACGACGTTGCGGATGATGACGATCATGCGGATGAGGTTGATGAGAAAGTGCATGCTTAGAATGTTTGACAACTGTATGAAGGAATCAGCACGGTGGTTCACACTGCGTAAACACATGTCGGATGGTGTTGATGTATACTGGTGCATTATCTCGCTCCTCCTTACTCATCCTCATGCGTCCTCCTCCTCATCCTCCTCCGACGTTTCCGAAGTTGCCGACTGATGAAACATGTCATGCTAGCACAGCATGTCCTGAAATGGGAAAAATTGTGAACTGTGGACTGATGGCGATCGAGTCGTACGGACGCCGCCCTCCTCCCCCTCAAGGCCAGTCGGCCCTGGGGGGGCTGATCAAACTCAAGCCAGGCGACTCCTGGAGCACCACTCCAGGAGTCGGCGCCTGGTGGGGGGGATACGCTAAAGTAGGACGGACAGACAGAGACAGACGGACAGAGAGGACGAAGAGGGGGGGAAGAAGGCCATCAGAGCCAAACGCGGGGACCGTGGCGCGGCGGCTGCGTGGAGACTGCAAGTGAAGCAGGGCTGAGGCCCAAAGGCGGCCACTAGTAGGTGATGCGAGGCTGCGGCTATTGCGGATAGGGGGCGCCGGGCTGTGCGTCGGCGGTGGCCACGCTCGCCAAGATGAAGAGCGCATGGCCTTTCCCCCTGCCCATGGGACCCGCCCCTGGGCGCCCCCCAGTCCCACGACGGGATCCCGCACCTGCGAGCGGGCCAAGGGCTCCCAACACGTGGGACAGCTGTTCTGTCGTGCTCCCTCGGCTTGTCCCAAAGCGAGGTGTCGTCAGCGTCGCTGCACGGAACTCATGTGGGCCGGGCCATTCGCCAGGCAAGCTTTCCTCGCTTCCGCTGATTACTGCTGCAAGCTTTTAAGACGAACACGCGCGGCGCCAAGGCGAGAGCTCCATTCTGAAAATAGTGCGCCCTCCATCCCTGCAACTGCTGCAATTTGTCAGAAGCGAATGTGCACGGCGCTGAAGAGAAAGCCCCATTTTGAAAACCACCCGCCCTGGATCCTTGTAACTGTTGCATACTTCAAGCTTCAGGACCATACATTGTAAGGAAGTCTCAGGCGAGACGCACAACCTGCCCTACCGATAGGTTTAGTGCCCAGGCGAATAACAAGGAAAAGTGATTGAGCAGGAGTAGGAGTGGTAATCAAAGTGGGGGGGCTGAACCGAACGGTCATTCACTGTCCTTGGGTGCGTGGCTGACGTGAAATTCGCGATGCGTATTATTGTTGTTCTTGTTGTTGTTATTGTTGTTGGTGTTGTTGTTGCTGGTGCTGCTGTTGTTGTTGTTGGTGTTCTTAATGGTGTTGTTGCTGTTGTTGTTGTTGATGATGTTGTTGTTGAATTCTCATCTCTGAAGAATTATTATTGTTGATCCCCCCCCACCGGTGCATAGTATCTTTTCTCAATCAAAGTGTGTCCCTCGACGCTCGCACCCTGTTTTTTGACAGGAAGTCTTCCTGCTCAAGCTGGGCCCCTGGCCCCCGGGTTACAACAACAACGGTTCCCGCCTGAGACTTCCTTACAATTTAGCCAGGACCCCCGCTCCCGCCAGAGACCCCCTCGCATTTTATTCAGGAATCGCGCTCTCGCTTGGGACTTCTTTACAGTGTATTCAGGAATCGCTCTCCCGGCGCTCTGAAGTCGCGCTCTCGCTGGAGACTTGCTTGCAACTTACTGAACAAAGGCTTTGCGTTGGAGTTTCCTGCGTTTTGCCCAAACGCCGCGCTCCCGACACCCAGGCACCCAGGAGTCGCGCCCGTTGTGGCCCCATGTGCATGCCCTTCGTGGCCCCGCTGTTGCCATTTGTGCCCCCCTCACTGTCCTACGTGGCCCAGTTGCTACCCTCAGTGGCACCATAGTTGCCTTTTGTGGCCCCGCATTATCTGCACTTCGTGGCCCCCGCTCGTTCGCGCCCTTCGTGGCCCCATACGCATTCCCTTCGTGTCCCGCTGTCGCCTTTCGTGGCCAACTTCGTGCCCTTCGTGGCTCTGCTGTCGTTCTCTCTCGCTCTCGCTTTCGCTCGTCGTTGCCGCCGTCGTCTTCGCCGTCGTCTTCGACGTCGTCGTCGTCGTCGTCGTCGTCGTCGTCGGTCCCCTGTCCGTCCCTATTCGGGTCGGGTCGACGGTCCGCGGCCGCCCCGCCGATCAGCGCTGCCGCTGGCCAGGCCGACGGTCCGCGGCCGCCCCGCCGCTTGCCGGGGCCCGGCCTGCAGGAAAGAAAAGTGTACCCCCAAAAATGGGTTCGATCGAAGACGAAGAGGGCGGGTATCGAGGGTTTGGGAAATAGGCGTTATTGGACACTCGAGCATACATATAAGGGCGAACAGCCTTAAACTTATTGTTGTGGTTGGTGGTGTTGTTGTTGTTGTTGCTGCTGCTGTTGGTGTTGTTGTTGGTGGTGTTGTTGTTGGTGGTGTTTGCTGGTGTTTGTTGTTGTCTGTTGTTTGTTGTTTGTTGTTTGTTGTTTGTTGTTTGTTGTTTGTTGTTTGTTGTTGTCGTCGTCGTCCCACCCGCGACCCAAACCGCGACCCACCCGCGACTCACCCCGCGACCCACCCGCGACCCACCCGCGACCCACCCCGCGACCCACCCGCGACCCACCCCGCGACCCACCCGCAACCCACCCGCCCGCGACCCACCCCGCGACCCGCCCGCGACCCACCCCGAGACCCCCCCGGCGACCCACCCGCGAACCACCCGCGACCCACCCGCGACCCACCCGCGACCCACCCCGCGACCCACCCTCGACCCACCCGCTACCCACCCGCGACCAACCGCGACCCACCCGCGACCCACCCACGACCCACCCCGCGACCCACCCCGCGACCCACCCAAAATTTTCGGCGCTTGCGGCGGGTTTCTTTCGCATTCGTTCCAGGTGGAGAACCTGCGACCCACCCGCGACCCAAACCGCGTTCAGTGTACAAATCAAAATGTTCGGCGCCTGCGGCGGGCTGTTTTTGAATTCCTTCCAGGCGAAGGTGGAGAATCCGCAACCCACCCGCGACCCAAACTACGTTCACAGAACAAGCCGAAAGTTCGGCGCCTGCGGCGGGTTTCTTTTGCATCGGCGACCCACCCGCGACCCACCGGCGACCGACCCCGCCCGAGACCCGCTCGCGGACCACCCCGCGACCCACCCGCGACCCACCCGCGACCTACCCCGCGACCCACCCAAAATGTTCGGCGTTTGCGGCGGGCTGTTTTTGAATCCTTTCCAGGTGGAGGTGGAGAGCCCGCGACCCACCCGCGACCCAAACTACGTTCACTGAACAAGCCAAAAATTCGGCGCCTGCGGCGGGCTGTTTTTGCAGTCGCTCCGGCTGGCCCACCAGCGATCCCCCCCGCGCTGAACTTGTCAGAGCACGCAAATCGGCGCGTGCGGCGGGCTTGCTCGCATTGGTTTGGCAAAGCGCCCTCGTGCCAATCCCCCGATCCGGCCCACGCTGACGCTACAACAGCACATCGGCGCCTGCGGCGGGGCTGTGTCTGAACACGTTCATTGACAATCGAACTGCCTGCTGCAATTCGGCATCCGTGCCCAAAACCTGGGTCCAGGGGAAGCTGCCTCAAGGCGCCCACAATTAAGGGGCCTCGGGGCGCTCAAGGACCCTCCTGAGGGGGGCGTCCACGAACCCTACCACACAGCACGCCAGTGCCGCACAAGCGCGGCGGCGGATTTCGCATGCCGCCTGAACCCCCCAAGACCTCTTCAAACTCCGCTCAGTCACGCCAGCCCATCCAGCAACTTTACCTTGGCGAGTTGCCTGGATCAGAGAAGTCGGGGAGCATTCAGTGGAACAAAGGATTGGTTTGCCTCTATCTTAAGAAAGAAGGGCGAAGCAGAGGAGTAAACAGGGGACGAGGAGGACGCGGAAGAAGAGAGGATGCAAGGAGAATGTGGAAAAAGAAAGGATGATGAGGAGGACGAGCAGGAGGAAGAGGGCGCCATCGACAGGGAAGGTGAGGGCCACGAGGTCCGCCGGCTCGACGCCCGCGTCGCCCGCGCCCGCCCCCTCACTCTTATCCGCAGTTGCGGGGTGCTACGTAGGAGTAATAGGAGGAGGAGGAGGAGGAGGAGGAGGAGGAGGAGGAGGAGGAGGAGGAGGAGGATGAGGAGGAGGAGGAGGAGAACAAGGGAGGTGGGAGGAATGGTACGGGACGAGGTCGAAAGGTCTGAGGGGCCTCAATCGATTACAAGAGGTTCAACATATTACTTGGGGGGAGACGGGGGGACGAGGAGGATGAGACCAGCGTATGAAAAGAGGAAGATAAGGAGGATGAGGAGGACGACGAGCAGCAGGACGGCGACCACGACGACGGCGACGGCGACGACGACGACGACCATGGCGGCGGTGCCCGGGACAGCTGAGCGGGGCGTGCGCATTGCCCAAGCACGGCGTCGTGCACCCCGCCGAGGCGGCCCTGCTCGCGAACGTGTCGAAGCACGCGCACAAGTTCCCCTGGGCACGGGCGAGCAGGCCGGCGGGACTCTGACGAGGGCCCGATCGTCAGCCCCCTCGGGAATGGTCCCCCCGATCGGACAGGCGGCTGTGGAGGCGCCGAGGACAAGACAGGAAATCGAAGACAAATTTGATGTTTCGGGAATGTTTTAGGACGACAATACTGGGGAGTCTTGGTTGGAGGGGCCAAGGAAGATTAAGCCCCATGTGGGGGCTACTGCGTCGGATACGGCCGCGAACTAACTGGGATTAGGCCGGATTAAGCAGGACTAAGTACGACAAAGCGGGAATAATAAAGCCGGATTAAGCCGATTTCGGACCAGGGTAAAGACAGAACTTGACCTCCCAGGAATTGCATCCGAGAGTGTCATGGGTGAAAAACAACAAATAATGATCAGAACGGATGGCACGGAAGACGAAGACCCGCCGAACCCCGATTCTGCGGAGGTCAAACGGCGTGCGGGACATTTGGATACAGTTGGAGGGGACATGCTGCAGTGTTTGCTATTTGAAATCTGCCCACTTGCCCCATTTGCCCCACTTGCTCAAATGGCCTCACTTGCCCCAGCTGCCCCACTTGCCCCCAACCCACGCAGGACCCGAAGCAAGCGGGGTCAAGTGGTGCAGGTGAAGGCCCCCGCTCTCGGGTGCGCCTGTTGGTGCGTCTCGGAGAACGCGCCTCCTGATTAGGGGCCTTGTCGCAAGTCCACGTGTTCCCACGAAAACACCAGGAGCCCACCAGGGAACCCACACGCGCCCCCGACGGGGGAGCCCGAATACCCCGGAATTCCTGGAGGTCCCCAAGGAGACAGCTGAATTTTCAACATACATTCCCCGACACGGATCTCATTCAGAAAACAAAATGAATCATGGTCGTTCCAGGAAATACAAATCATGCATGCTTCATGTTTTCGTGATTGTTTGAATTGGCGGGGGCGGGATGGATCCTACGTGTTTCCCCAATGCAGAACTAGCCTCCGAGGAAATCGCATAGCAAAAACTGGAGCGGGGGCCCAAGTTTTCTTTGCAATTTTGGTGGTTTTCTGAGCGCATGTCCGACGGCATCGGTGCCACGCGCATGGCCCGAAGAGGGGCCCTAGGCGGCTCCAAGACAGTCTCGACGGGCCAGTCTAGGGGCCGCCTGGCCCGTCTTGGAGCGATCTTTGGGGGTTCTTCGGCCGTCTTCGACCGTTCGGCGAGAGAACCCACAAACCTTCCTCAACATATGGCAAATCAATGTTATTGGCCTCCTGAGGCCCTCTGGGCCGTCATCTGGGGTCCTCTGGAGGGCCTCTTGGGCCGTCTTGGGGTCCTCGTGGGCCGTCCTGAGGCCATCTGAAGCCATCTTGAAATCTCTGGAGGGCCTTGGGCTCTCTTGGAGCGCTCGTGTGTTTTGGGGGAGCCGTTTTGGAGCTCTCTTGGGAATACCTTGGGGGTATATGAAGCCGTCCCAAGCGCCTTAAGGCCGTCTTTGGGCTGGGCGCGTGCGTTAACGCTGGGGTGCGCGGGCAACGCCCCTCCTCCGCGTTCCTCCCTACGAGGTTTCGCCCCACCTAAAACGTCATCATTCGTACATCGTGGCTCGCGGGGCACCCCGCGAGGCCGAGGTCCTGGGGTTTGGCGCCGCCGTCTGGCGGCGGCGGCGGCGGGCCGCCCGGTTCCGGCGGCGCGGGGCCATCCGCGTCTGCTGAAGGAGACGCCCTGCCTCTTAACCGCGACCGTTTCGCAGATTGACGGGGGCACGGGCGCGGGTCGCCGCCAGGCGAGGGCCCAGGCGCAGGGGCGGATGGGAAGCACATCGCTGGGCAGCTCTTGCATTCAGGAGTTGCTGCCCCCTGCCTGTCTGTAGAGATTGCGCGGCATTCCTGCTCGCGGCGGCCGCGATTGCCCCGAGCCGGATAAATCGGGGCGACCTGTTCCGCATCACTTTCCTGTCGGCGCCGACGCGCCAACGCGGGTTTGACTTCTCAGGAGTCGCTGGGGTCGGGGTTGGCCGCTGGCACGAAAAACGTTTCCCCATTCTTCCCCATCCACCCCCTCCTCTCACCCCCCCTCTCCTTTTCGAACCCCCGCTGGCATGGCGGACCACTCGGTCTGGGAGGCAGGGGAGGGAGGAGGGAGAAGCGAGGAGGAGAAGGAGGAGGAGGAGAAGGAAGGAGGAGAGGGTGGGCGAGATGGGGGGTCAGGAGGTGGCTTCCCTCTGGAGCCACAGGCTGCTTCGTGGGGGGAGCTGCGCAGGGGTCCTGGCAGTCGGCGGGGCCCAGCTGGGGTGCCGCGGGACCGTCCTGCTCGTCTGGGACCGCCCCCATCCTGATGTCCAGATTTCCATCATGGGCGGCCGAGTTCGGGGGCACTCGGACGCCGCCAGTCCAAGCGGCCGAACGCGGCCGCGCGAGCCATCGCGGACGCGCGAGCGGGCCGCCCTCAGTGAAGCGAAGAGCTTCAGCACGATGCACATCCGCCGCAGCTAGCCTTAGCCCCGCGTCCCCCATGCGCGGCGCGCCTCTATCCGGGGTCGTGTCGGGACGATCGAGGGCGAGCGACCGCGGGCGAGCGAAGCGCTCCCCTCCCATCCCGAGCCTGGGCTCGGAGCAAGGGCGCACAGGATGATCAGGGAAGGGCCTCGTGAGAAGGAAGACGAGGAACAAGAAAAGGGAGGGGGAGGAGGGCAAGGACGAGGGCGAGGAGGAGGAGGAGGGGCAGGAAAAGGGAAGAAGACGGAAGGGAGGAAGGGGATACGGGATACGGGCGCGGGAGGGGGGCAGGGAGGAGGACACTGAGGTGGACGAGGTGGGCGACGAGCTGGAAGCAGGAGGAGAACGGGGCGGAGAGGCCCCAGGGCCCAAGAGGGTGACCCCACACGTTCCCAAATGGGAGGCCCCGCCGCGCGAGGCCCCTGTGGCCCCCGAGTTTTCAACCTGATTTTTCTGGGGTGCACTTTCACTGCAAGCATGCCTCAAATTCGGCTTTACCCTGCGAGACTCAAGACATGTCGGTCTCATTCGTTCGCCATTCTTTTGACTTTCGCGGGGCGGGCTAATAGCATTCCGCTTTTCCCAGGAAGATGCACCCCGGAAGATTCATGTTGAGAGCTGGGCGGTGGGGCGGATTTTTCCATGGACATGCCCCCTGGGAGCTTCTTGCTGAGAGCTGGGCGGCGGGGTCTGGGACTCCCTGAGCGGATTCGACGGCCTTCTGGCGATGGAGGGGAAGAGCCGAGAGCGAACTCGGGCCTGCCTCTTCTCCCCCTCTCGGACCGGGCGAAAGGGGGGGGATAGCAAAGGGGGGGTTGAGCATCAGCTAACGTAGCTGATTTTCCCGGCGCCTCCCGGCGCTAGGAGGCGCCCATGTATCGAGGAATGAGCCCGGCGGTGGGGCCGAAACCAGCTGCATGCAGCAGGTTTCGTACCCCCCCTTTCCCTATCCCCCCCTTTCGTTCGGCCCGACCCTCGCCCTCCTTCTCCTCCTCCCTTTCTGTCGCTCATCCTTCTAGCCATGGCCGCTCCAGCATGTTGGGGAGTGCGCCAGCATCGATGCCCACCCCAGCCCAGAGAACCCTGGGGAGCGTTGCCTGCACCGTGTCCGCAGCTTGCTGTGGCAGCCCTTCGCAGGCTCCACCCCGCGCGCGCACGCGGCGAAGCAAGGCCGACGCCCGCTGCCTGAGGGGTGGTGTTACCTCCTGGAGGCCTGGGAACGGGCACCAGCACCAGCACAGGGGGGCTGCCTCCACAGGGGGAAGATGATCCTAGATTTCGGTGTTGGTGGTAATAGTTCGGTCACCTTGGAAGCCAGAATATCACCGCCATCACCGAGATCGGGATCGTCTTCCCTCGGTGGAGGCACACCGCCGATACTGGCGTTGGTGTCAACCTCTAGGCCTGCTATCTGCACGCGGGCGCCAACCCAGCGGCTGCAGCCAGGGGCCCCGGTACGGTGCGCGCGGCCTGGCCTGCGGTGCCAACGGACTTACCGCGCTCGGCAATCCTGGGTCGCGCTCGGCTTGGCCGCGCTGCGGGCGCGGAGCTCATGGAGAGCGGCCCGTGGGCCCCGGCCGATGCAGATGCGAGCGGCCGCCCTGTGGAGGGAGCTTGCGAGTTCCAGCCGCCAGTGCCTGGCGTGCAGGCTGCCTCAGTCGTGTGTACATCACGGAGGCGGGTGTGCACGAGCAGCTGCGTGACAAAGTTGCTGCCGGCATCCGATTCATCTTCAGCTGTTTTCCCCATCATCAGCCGAACAGCCGGCGCCATCGGCGCCTTTGGGAGCAGGGGCCCGAAGATGGGCAGTCAGACGGCCGAGAAAGCAGAGGTCAGATTCTGGGAGCGCCCGCCACGGATCCTCTGGCACGGCATCGGTTGGAGCACCGCCTCCCAAACGCAGCAGGAGGGCCCCCGAGCAGTGTCGGATGGACCCCTGCATGTGCAATCCGTTCATGGGGGTAATTTGGGTGCCTTTTGGGAGCTCCACTGGGGCATCTTGTGGCCCCTGGGGGCCGCCTTGAAACATCGTGAAGCGTCTTGTGCCACCGAGGGGCCCATCTTGGCGGCCAGCGGGCGTCCTCCTGAACCAGCTCGGAACCCTCGTCAGGCCGAAAGAGTCACCCAAAGACCCCTGGGCGGATCCTGAAGCCCAGGCGGGGCCAAGTGGGTTGCGACGGGGGGAGGTTGGGAAAAGTGGGCCAGCCGTGTCCAGAAACCTGCTCGTCGGTGCACAGAGCAAGGTGGAATCATAGTACACTGGTTGGTGCACGAATGGACGAACTGAGCACGTGGCGGGGGGGGTACGCCGCACTCGCAAACACATGCACTATGAGAACTGATAGCGTATTCCCCATGGGAAAGGCGAGTAACGCGAGGAGGAGGAGGAGGAGGAGGAGGAGGAGGAGGAGGAGAAATGGGAGGAGGGCTGAGGGATGTGAGAGGAGTATTGCGGGAAGAAGTGGAAGGAGCAGGGGAGAAGAGGACAAAAGGCGCTGGATATGCCACTGATACCCCTCAAACCAC